TTTATATGACATTTATGATTCATATGCTATGTTACATTTTGCTATGCCATGTCATGTCATGTTATGTTATGCTGTGTTGTGCTATGCTATGCTATGCTATGCTATGCTATGCTATGCTATGCTATGCTGTGCTGTGCTGTGCTGTGCTGTGCTGTGCTGTGCTGTGCTGTGCTGTGCTGTGCTGTGCTGTGCTATGCTATGCTATGCTATGCTATGCTATGTTACGTTATGCTAACATCGCATTATGCTCTACATCATATGATAATATTGCAAAGTGCCCTAAACCCGAAACCCAAACCCTAAAACCCTAAAACCCTAAAGCCCTAAACCCTAAACCCTAAAACCCTAAAACCCTAAACCCTAAACCCTAAAACCCTAAACCCTAAACCCTAACAGATCGAACCAGAGTCGGTCGCGGATGGAAGCCCTCTCGGGCTGGGCCCCCTGCGTGCTTGCAGCATCAGCTCTTCCTTCTGAATTTGCCCGCTCACCTCGGGGTTTACGGTTTAGGGCTTTGGGGCTTTGAGTTTAGGGTCTAGGGCTTTTGGGCTTTGGGATTAGGGTTTAGGGTTTAGGAGTTTAGGGGTTTAGGGGTTAGGGTATTAGAGTTTAGGGGTTAGGGTGTAGGGCTTGCAATGACCTCTTTCTCTCATCCATGCGTGGCCCTTGGCAGGGCTGTTTAGGGTTTAGGGATTAGGGATTGTGGTTGCGGGTTTCGGGATTAAGGGGACTAAGGGTTTAGAGTTGAGAGACTGCAAGTTTAAGCTTAGGAGATTAAAGGCTTAAGGATTAAATTGGGGTTTAGGGTCGCCAGAGTTGGAAGTTTTGAGTTTCAGGGCTTCCGGCTTCATGCTTGGAGGCCAGGATTCAAACTCCCTAAGCCTTAAAACCCCAAACCCCACCCCCCCCCCTAATAACCCTTTATAGACCCTAAACCCCATACAAACACCCCCAACCCTGACTCCCAAATCCTAACCCTCAACCCTGAAACCCTAAACCCTGAAACCGAAAACCCTAAAGCAGTGGTCTGTCAGTCTCGGCGCAAATCTGGGCCTTAGGCTCAATGCCATGCTTTCAAGGCAGAAGGGTTTTAGGGTTTAGGGCTTTAGGCTAGAAGGCTCGTGGAGCTATAATACGTTGTGGCGTTGGGTGTTGGTGCCTGGCTTGCGGCTAAAGTCAGAGGCATAGTTTCTAAAGAGGCTCACGCAAAACTTGTTCCTGAAGCATTCGGCATACTGCTTGGGAATAAGTATCGTGCCATCTGGGAGTTTCCGAAACTTAGGGGTACCTTATTTTGGGGTCCTTATAATAAGGATCCTACTATTTGGGGTACTATATTAGGGTCGCCTATTTTCGGAAAGCCCCATCTAGACTTTGCAATTAGATTCCACTTGGCCGGCTCCTTCTTAGCTGCCTCTGAGCCAAACCCTTGGCAACTTATGCCTGCTAAGGTCTGTTCAAAACCGAAGGCTGACACCCAACCGTAAAAACCCTACAGCACCAAAGCCCCACAGTCTACAGCCGAAGCCCAGAGGTCCCTAGACACCTGAATTTAAACTAACCTAAACCCTAAACCCTAAACTAACCAGCATAACACCGCTCCCTGACAGGAGACTTTAACCCCTAAACCCTTGAGGCCCCAAACCCTTAAACCCCCAAAAGGCAACAAACCCCAATCCTAAACACCCTCAACAAACCAAAGGAGCCCTTAAAAACAGCTCAAAACTCCTAACACCCCAACGCCCATCGAACCCTAAAAAATCCCGGTTTAGGGTTTTCAGGAATCCTCAACAAAGCGAACCTTAAACCCTAAACCCTACAACCGGCCCCTAGAGGCCTCTGCGACGATGGGTGTCCAGGCATTGGACAAGAACTCCGAGGCCTTCGAGTGCCGGACTGGCGGTTCGGGTTTAGGGTTTAGGTTTCAGAGTTCCTTAAGGACGAAAAGAGCCCTAAAAGAGTTTAGGGTTCATATACCATATAGGGATTCATAGTATAAAGGTATAGGGCCCCTACTTTTAAGGTTCTGTTCGTCCTTCAGGTTTCGGGCCGTTCACTGTAGCGCAGCTGCTCTTGCTGCTCTTCGGTTGCTTATCCGCGAGGCAACATCTGGTGACTACAGCATCAGGAATGGCTTCCAGCTAGCCGTCAGCATTTAGGTAGGGCTTAGGGCATAAGAGCCAACAGCAATACCTTCCATACATGCTACCGGTGTCTTACCATTCGTGCTCCGAAAGGCCCACCAGCAACCGCATCCGGCTTGTACACCCACAAGTATTTATCCGACCCCGACTTGCCCTTTTAGAGGGCATCTGGATATGACCGACCATCCAAGCCCCTAGCAACCTCCTCCGAGCCCCCAACCTAACCCCTGAACCCCAAACCCCTACAGCCTAAGCCCTGAACCCTGAACCCTAAACCCTAAATACTCTAAACCGTAAACTCTAAACCCTAAACCCTACACTCTAAACCCTGAACCCTAAACTCTAAACCCTAAACTCAAAACCCTAAACTCTAAGCCCTAAACTCTAAACCCTAAACCCTAAACTAAACCCTAAACTCTAAACCCTAAACTCTAAACCCTAAACCCTAAACTAAACCCTAAACTCTAGACTCTAAACCCTAAACTCCACACCCTAAAACCCTAAACTCAATTGGGCTAAACCTGTCAAGACCTGTAAGGCTCACGGCTCCAACGGTCCCAGGAATCGGAGGATCCGGGGTTGCAAAAAGGAGGTCTTGGTGTTTAGGGTTTTTTTAAGGCAACTACAGGTGGGGAGTTTAGGATTTTGGGATTTAGGGTTTAGGGTTTAGGGATTGGGGCTTAGCGTTTAATAACCCTAT